AGGGGTGGGGCCCTGTTAGACCTGCCGTTTGCAAACAGAGAAGGGCTGGTGGGAGATGTGGTGGTTGGAGGCTGTTTGGGGCACAGCGACCATTAGAGTTTTCAATACTCAGAGATGCAAGAAGGGCCATCAATAAAACTTCTACCCTGGACTTCCGAAGAGCAGACTTTGGCCTGCTCAAAAATCTGGTTCAAAGTGTACCCCTGGGAAACAGCCCTTGGAGAAAAAGGGTCCAGGAGGGATGGTCATACTTCAAGAAGGAAGTCTTGAAGGTGCAAGAGCAGCTGTCCCGGTGTGCTGTAAGGTGAGCCGGCCTGGATGAACTTTGCAGGAAATTATGAAAAAAAAGAGAGCTTACCAACTCTGGAAAAAAGGACAGGGTACTCAAGAAGAGTTCAGGATTATAGTTAGGTCATGTAGGAAGAAAATTTGAGAGACAAAGGTTGATTCTATGATTCTAAGAGCTGTTGCTCCATTGTACAGAAGAACTTCAATTAGAATTGTGTCAAACTCCTCATTACTTAATAAAGATGAGTAATGTCTTGATATATATTATATTGCATATTTTATTAGTGGTCCTTGCAATACCCAGGCAAAGTAGTACTGCATTACATGCAAGCAAATTGAAGCTAGCTAGCAGTGTAATTGTAAAACATGCCAGTCTCAATAGAGATAACACCCTGATCTTCTGTCCTACAGAGGGACTTTATTTTTCTTTGTTTTTCCTCAATGAAGAATTTTGGATCCAGAGTGTATCTATTTATATAGAAGTAGTAAAGAAAACCCAAAATGCAACAAAAAACTGGCCCCAAGAGAAACATGGATCTCAGGAAAGGCAACACCAGACAGCCAAGAGCAACTGTGTCTTAGTAGAAACTCTAGACTCTTAAAATCTTAAGCTTATGAAGTTCTTCCTTGACCCATTCTACTTAGCATCTCTCAAGACAATGCTACCATACTACAATCCAACTTTCTCCATGAAGACACTGTCAACCAACAGCCTTCCTTGGCTGCAGTTTCTATTAAACTTGCTACATTCAATTTTCCAAGTCATACAATGCACCTTCAGTTAAGCTGGTTTTCCTTTTAACCTTGGGACTTTTTATGCTGAATCAAACTTGGGAGAGCATTTTCTTAGGGAGACTATGATTTTAATTCAAGCATGTACATCTAATGAATTGAAGTCATGGGGTACAAAACCCCTCCCTTTTTCTTTTTTCCACACGGGGAAAAGTGATTGAGTAAAAGAATCTGAAGAAAAAGACATCACATTTTGTACTGCTTCATACTTACTGCGCTTTGTAACGCATTTGCTTCCTGTGCCTCAGAAGAAACATTTTCTTGCTCCTCTTCTTTCTAAGCTTGGGCCAGTTCATTCTTTTCTTAGGCCTCTTCCTTCTTTGTCATTTTACTATTTTCTTCACCCAGTCTACCCACTTGTGCACATCCTTACTTGCAGATCTCCCAGCGTGGCTCCTCCACTCATTTCTCAGTTGCACTGATAGCTGGACTGCTCTCGACTGAAGCCACAGCACTGCTTGAACATTCATTTGAATTTCCAACATTTTCATTATATCTGTTTCCTGATGGACAACTTCTGTCAGATACACAAGGGTTTTAATTTTTACTGTCATCCTCACAGTCCAACCTGTCTGTATCATCCAGTCCTTCCAATCCCAGCCTGCCACAAGCAGCATGTTAAAAATTAAGACACATATATTTTAATCTTTTTCTTTTAAATAAATAGTCACATTTCTCTTTCCAAAATCCACTTCAGAGAGATATAATAAACTACTCTAGATGCTCTTTAGGATAGTTAAATAAATGGAAGAGCTGCTGATATTGAACATTGCACACATACCCCCACGTGCCCTTCAAACAGATATATTTCTACAGCATTCCCAAGACAGAAATAACAGGAGTCATTGACTTCTCTTTCATGTCACATTAGGTGAAAGATGCCAGAAAAAAATAAGTCTTTTTAAGATCAATGTACATTTAATTTGTTAATGAAAAAAAGTCAATAGAAAGTACTGGAATATAACTGTACTAGAAGGGGTGGAGGAAAAGAGTATGCCTATTTTGGCACATAAAGTTTTCCTGTTCCAGTTGGGACAGAATTATATGAACACAGTAATGTTTACTTTCAGTTCAATTTTCTTATTCCTATTTCAGTCTTCATCTCAGATAAGACTCTGCTTACTTGTATGCATCTAGCCTTTCATCCTGTTAAGGCTTAAGACTCAAGTTTAAAAACAAGGCATAACACCAAAAACATTTCCGTTTTTTGAGATTTTACTCCGTTCTTTCCAGGTTCATCCAAATGCTTTTGACTCTTGCCACTCTGTGGTGCTGCTGCTTTGCTTGCATGGAATCCTTCAAAACGAAGTTGAAGATCTGCTTCACCAGCACACAAGTCATATATATTGTAAGTTCTACTTGTCTTTTCATTTCAGATGCAATTGCAATTCAGATATAATTTAAAACACTAAATAAGTGTTTTATTAATGGACAATATACATAATGTGTTTTATAATGGGCAATAATCACTATTGGTGAACATTCATGTAGACTCAAAGCTACAAAATAAACACAGTAACTGCAAAATCTTTCCTACATGAATTTACAGAGTCAGTTAATATTGGATTTGTGAACTGAACTCTCAGGTTCTACATCCCATTCAGCCTCAGGTTTCACTACTTAGCTGCCAGCAAGGGAAAAGTCCATGGACAAATAAAATCCATGGATAAATAAAGTCAGCACAAAGACCAGTAAGTGAGACAAGGTGTTTTGTAGATGGATTCAATATCTAGTTTTTATGTAAGACCCATTTAGAGTTCATCATTTCACTGAAAATGATTATGTAATTTTTACAGCTCAACTAGCAATACCATCTTCACAGAATTTTACTCTTATTGTGAGTTGACAATAGAACAGCAAGATGAAGCATCACTTGCATCGTGTTACACTGTTCAATGCAATTTAAGAGAAGCTGCAGACAAAAAGGAAAAATCAAGTCAAACAAATTTTACTGACATTTAAAATTAATTTCAATTGTGAGAGTTGCATTTAGGTTTTTTTTCTAAGGAAAGACATGGATCTTTTGGAGCAAGTCCAGAGGAGGACCACAAAGATGATCAGAGGTCTGAAGCATCTCTCCTATGAAGACAGGCTGAGAACTTCAGGGAGACCTCATTATGTGCCTAAAGGGGGCTTATAAAAACTGTTTTTTACATAGATAGTGATAAGACAAGGGGGAATGGCTTCAAACTGAAAGGAGAGAGGTTTAGGTTAGATGTTAGGAAGAAATTCTTTACTCAGAGGGCGGTGAGGCACTGGCACATGTTGCCCAGAGAAGTTGTGGATACTCCATCCCTGGAAGTGTTCAAGATCAGGTAACGCGATCTAGAGAGTGGCATCTCTTCCCATATCATGAAGTTGCAACTAGATGATTTTTCCAATCCCTTCCAATCCTTTCTATAGTTCTGACAGGATTATATCATCACATAAAATGTGTTTAAATCAGGGGGAAAACTGTGTTGAAGCAGGAGTCCAAAATCAGCTCTTCATGACATGCACCTGTAAGCATGAGACTGAGGAACTAGTTAGAAAAAAATTCACACTGGTGAAAAGGTGTATACAGAAGTATGAGGGTCATCCACGCAATGTTATGATTCCATTCTTTGGTGCTTCAAATCTCCTCTATGTCCTCAACATAAACATCTAGCTAGATGTCTGCGTGGTCTTGTCCAAGGCCTGGAAAGAGGTGATTTATAGAAAACTATGAGTACACGTAGCCTGAGAGGCTATGCTCCAGGATGGGAATCACTAATACCCATGGCTGGCATATCACATCCCCATTTCTTTATGCCTGCTGTGGGCAGAGACACCTCCCATTGAACCATGTTGCCCAGGGCTTTATCCAAATTGGCTTTGAACACTGCCAGGGTTGGGGCATCCACAACCTCCCTGGGCAACCTGTGTCAGTGTCTCACAATGCTCACAGTAAAAAATTTCTTTCTAATATCTAATCTGAATTTTCCTGCTTTCAATTTATACCCATTACTCCTTGTCCTATCACTACACTTCCTAACAAAGTGTTCTTCTCCGGCTTCCCTGTAGGCCCCTGTAGGCTGGAAGGTTGCTATGAGGCCTCCACGCAACCTTCTCCTCCCCAGGCTGAACAGCTGCAACTTTCTCAGCCTGTCTTTGCTGGAGGGGTGCTTCAGTGCTCTTATCAACTCCATGGCCCTCCTCTGGACTTGCCCCAACATTTCCATGTTCTTATCTTGGGGACACCAGAACTGTATGCAATACTCCAGGAGAGGTCTCACAAAAGCAGCATTCAGGGAGAGAACCACCTCCTTTGACCTTCTGGCCTTGCTCCTTTTGATGCAACCCAGGATTTGGTTGGCTTTCTGGACTGCTAGCGCACACTGCCAGCTCACATGTTGATTTTGTCATCAACCATCACCCCCAAGTCCTTCTCAACAGGGCTGTTTGCAATCACTTCTCTGCCCAGCCTATAGATGTGCTCGGGGTTGTGTGACCCAGGTGTAGGACCTTGCCCTTCATTTTGTTAAACGTCATGAGGTTTGCATTGTTCCACCTCTCAAGCCTGTCAAAGTTCCTCTGGATGACATCCCTTCAGTGTGTTGACTGCCCCACACAGCTTGGTGTCCTCAATGAACTTGCTGAGGGTGCACTCCATCCCACTGTCCATGTCACCAACAAAAATGTTGAACAGTATTGGCCTCAGCACTGACCCTGGAGGATATGAATACAGCGACACCAGGAGGCAGGGCCACAGTGAGGATTTTTTTGGGTCAACATCAGTGGCAGATGCTCCCAGCTAAATGCCCAGTTTCTAGTAGAGGCTGGGAAGAACTCGTTGCCATGTGTAGTGCTAGTGCCAGAGGCGTGCGTGGCTTTTGGCTGTGCTCTGGATAAGCCCTCGTGTCTTATGCCTCCCAGACCAAGTATCCCTCTTTCACTTGCAGATCTCTGGGGGCCTCCTCTGGATCCTGATGGCATCCTTGAAGGTCCTGGAACCCATGTTGCAAGGCTGGGTGATGTTTGTTTCTGTATTCTGCTTCATCATGTCCACCACCCTCCTGTGCATCTACATTTGTAGGGTGCACAGGGGCAGCAGTTCCTGGGTTACCTTGGTAAGTGGATGTGAAGAACCTCTAAGCCTCCCCCTCCCTGGTATTCCTGCTAGACAATTGTCTCCTGCAAAGGAGAGTGCTGCTACTGCACTCTAAATCACAGGCTGAAGCTTGCTTGTATGGGTTTTGTTTTTTTTTCCTTTTGCAGTGTGATCCCACCTTGGAATGATTGTGATCCTTGTTTCTCAGATGTCATCTGCCAGGAGACAGCAGCTCTGTTCTACCTCAGTGCCGTTATGTTGGAAGCCTACTCGACTTAGATCACTGGCTTGTTGCCCCTAATGCACATCTACAGGGAGAACATTGCTGCTGTGGTGAGTGTCACAGCAAGCAGGGGAAGGAAGGCAAGGAGGTGACTGTGGAGTGGCCTCTTTCTTTGCACCAACCATTCAGGGAGGGGGGAGAGAAACTAGTCAGTCCTCCCACACATGAATGTCGCCAAATATGCGAGAGCCAGTAGAAGTATCATAATAAGGCTCAGTGCTGACACTCATACCATATAACAGAAGGTTAACTGGCTGATGTGTTTTT